TACCAGGGATTGAACTTGGGTCCTTGTACTTTCGAGGCAGGCAGCAGCACCACTGAGCTAAATCCCTGGCCCCCACACCATTATAATCTTACGGGATCACCATGACCTATGCAGCCTGTGGTTGACAGAAACATCCTTATCGAACATATGACTGTATTTTAAATTCTTTCTCAAAATAAAAATTGCTCTAAAAGAAAGAAATGAAGAAAAAAAAAATGATCTGGGCAGGATAAGAGGATGTGGCCAGAGCTCAAACCAGGCGGGAGCTGGAGGCAGGCCGGAGCTGGAGCCCTGCCTGGGCTGGGGCCTGCACTGGCTCAGAGATAGCGCTTCCGCACAAGAGCCCCAGTGTTCCCCAGGCCCTGCCGAAATCCAAGAGCAACACCACAGGCACAAGGCAACCTCGCCTTTCCCCCAGCTACTCCATTCCCAGGCAGGTGGGGGGGCTGGGGGGGCCTGGCCTTAGGAGACCCTCCAAGCCCAGCCTGGCACTCCAGCAGTGCAGAGTCTGCAAACCCCTGCCTGGGGCCTGATATATTATAGGTGCCCCATCTCCCTCCCATACGCACACCTGCGGTGACCCCACCTTCTGGGAGCCCTGGGTTGGGGTATAGCTCAGTGGAAGAACTTGGGTTTTGCATGTGCATGACCCTGGGTTCAATCCCCAACACCAGGGGAAAAAAAAGAAAAAGAAATAAGAAAATAAGAGAACTTAAAAAAAAGAAGGGCATGGTGGCGCACAGCCGTAATCCCACACTGGGGAGGCTGAGGCAGGAGGACCTTCACAGATTCGAGGCCAGCCTGGACTACTTACTGAGTACTTACTGACAGGAGGACCTTCACAAATTCAAAACCAACCTGGACTACACAGTGAGAACCTGTCTCAAAAAAAAAAGAAGACTAAGAAGAAAAAGAAGAGGAGCCAGGCATAGGCATGGTAGCGCACACCTATAATTCCAACACTCTGGGAGCCTGAGATAAGAGGACTGAAAGTTTAAGACCAGCCTGGGCAATTTAGTGACTTATCAAGACCCTGTTGCAAAATTAAAAAAAAAAAAAAATGCTGGAGATGTGGCTCAATATGAAAGCCCAATACCAAAAAGAAAGGAGGGGTTTAAATTAGCTTAAATAAGAATGCCAACACAAAGTTTCTGATGTGGCCAGATGCATGGCATGCACCCGTAGTCCCAACTACTGTGGAAGCTGAGGCAGGAGGATCCCTTGAGCTCAAGAGTTCCAGGCCAGCCTGGGCAACATACTGAGATGCCACTGAAAAGAAAAAAGAAGAGAGAGGAAACATAGTTCAGTGGTGGAGCACTTGCCCAGCATGTGTGAGACTTTAGGTTCAAGTCCCAGTGGGAGAGAAAAATATGTGAACCTCTGATCCAGTTCTGTGGCCAATGATCCTGGCAGAGTTCTCCCTCTTTCCCCTCAAAGTCCAGAGTTGATGTTTTGACTCTGCTACTCATTTCATTTGTGTGCTAGTTGACCTCAGAAAAATCATTCCAACTACCTGAGCTTCTGCTTCCTCACTTAAAAAACAGTGAAGGAACCAGGGTACAGTGCTGTGCTTGGGAGACTGAAGAGGACGCTTGTAATCCCAGCACTGAGGAGTCTGAGGCAGGAGGATTGCCATGAGTTTGAGGCCAGTCTGGGCTTCAGAGTGAGTTCAAAGCCAGCCTGAACTACATAGTGAGACTCTTTTTTAAAAAAAGAAAAGTTTGAGTCCTGCCTAAATAACTCAGCAAGACGCTGTCAAAATAAAAAATAAAGGCTGGGGATTTAGCTCAGCAGTTCTACCACCTGCCTCGCAAACGCAAGGTCCGGAGTTCGATCAGTACCAAAAAAATAAAAATAAAAATAATAAGGGTGCCCAGGGATGTAGCTCAGTGGCACCACACCTGCCTGGCAATCACAAGGGTCCTGAGTTCAATTCCCAATACCAAAAAGAAAAAAGAAAAAAAGGGATCAAGTATGTAATTCAATGGCAGAGTGCTCCTGGGTTAAATCCCCAGTATAAAAACAAACAAAAAACAAGATACCTAAGCCATTTGGCTTGGTGGAAGGATCAAAGGATATAATGCATATATAACACCTAGTGTGGTGTGGTGCCTGGCACATAATGGGAGCTCAGCCAAGGCAAGGACTTTTTCCTTGTTTAGTGAAACCCATTTCCATCTAACTCATTTCCTCCAATATCCCCAAGAAGAAAGAAGCTGGAGTGTGCCCATTTTCTGGATGGAGAAACTGAAACAGGCTTAAAAGCATGATTTTAGGGTAGCAGGCTTTTACCTCTGCTGAGAAATACATAAACAAGAGGGTGGTACAGCCACTGGAGAGATCTGGAATGTCTTTGAGAAACAGACTGCAAATGCCACAGTGAACAGACTCATGTTAGCAAGACAATGAGATGGTGAGAGAAAGACAGGTTCCTAGCCACTCCCAACTCCTCAATGTGAGTCCTCCGGCAACTGTTTGCTTATCTGCCCACAGGTGGGGTCCAACTGACTGCTTTATCTCCAGGACTGAAAGCAGTGCCTGCCACATAATAAACCTTCAGTGAGTACTGATCCACTGAATGAGAAAATGAATGAATGGTCTAGCGAGAGAGCCTCAGACTCTGCAGCGGGTCAGTCCAAGAGGTTGTGAGTGTGGGAAGAGCATCAGACGAGAGATGTGGGGATATATCCTGGGGACTTGGGGTTGGGGCTCGCAGTCTGAGGGACATGGGGATTTCGAAACAAGGATGTTGCCCCAACCTGACCACAAGTCTGCTTTGCCTGGGAAATGCCTCACAATTTAAATGAAAAGTGTGGTGTGGGGTTCAGCTTCTGCTGGTAGCTCACCCTGCCTTTGGCAATCCAGTTCAGCAAGGGGAGCCAGCCTCAGCCCGCAGAGGGGAGCTGAGCCTCCCCAGCCATCCAGGTGGTCTAAAAAGGCCACCTCTGGACCACAGCTCCCTGGGCCAAGAGCCACATTCTCCCTGGGAGCTCTGGCAAGACAGGACCGTGGAGGAGGGGACCCAGATAAACTTTTTAAAAGACAGCCAGTGCTGTTCTGATTTATCTTTGGGAGGAGACCATTCTTTTTTATTTTTTGAGAAGGGAAGGGGGAAAAAATGTAATGCTTTAATGGGCCTTTTAGTTATGCAAAGAAATGCCACTACCTGTTGGGAAGGAGGGTAGAAAGAGATAAGACTTCTCTGTATAACAATAGGAAAAGAGCCCTGAGTTAGATCCCCTGAACAAAAAAAAAAGGGAAAAGGAGTTGCTTTACAGCCAAAGTCCACCCCCCAGAGAAGATAACCTGGAGCGAGCCTGAGACTCGCACGTTTCCTTTCCTCCTAAGGAGCCCTCAGAGGAGCAGCAGTTGGGACTTCAGGGGAGGGATGAGCAGAAGTCAGAGGCCAGCTGGCCCCCTGGTTTTGCCACAGCCTAGGTGCTAAAGACAGAAGACCTTACAGGTGAGTCAGACCTGAGCCAAGTGGGAGTGGAACTATATGGGGGGCCCCTATGAGGTGCTGGGCACTTGAGATATAAGGGTGTAGTCTGCAGTTCCTGCCTTCTAGGAGCTTAACATTTCCCAATTGTTTACAGAATTAACTGCTCTGTTACAATTCTGGCAAATGTGTTGAAAAACTAATGGGTCATAAATACAGTGGTCCCTTGCTTCATGAACTTAATTCATTCCACTGTTCTTGTCACAAACTGAATTGGTTGAGAACCCAATTAAACTTCCCCATAAGGTCACCATTGAACCTAACCACTGAATTCGATTCAGTTCTCATCCGATGGACCAAGGCACCACTGTAATCACATACTAACATGAGAACCCTACTTTTCGCAACAACCTCTTGAGGACAATACTATAAGGTACCCATTTCACTGATGCGAAAATGAAGACCGAAATGGAGCAATCTGCCAAGGGCACATGTGGTGGTGCTGAGATTTGGGCCCATGCAGCCAGGCCCTGCAGACTACCCAGGAAACAACTTCACTGTTTCCTTCTCTGTCCTCAGAAGAAAGAAGGCATCAAAGGGGAAGTCCAGAGAGCTTTCCAGAGGAAGTGAGCTGAGACCTAAGAATGAGCTAGAATTAGCCAGACCTAGAGGGGAAAGGGCATTCCAGGAAGAAGGACTGTTGGGTGGCAGCAAGGAAATGGTGAATGAAAGCTTCATCTGCAGATGTGGACAGGGACCGTGTCATGACAAAATCCATCTATAGAAAGAGGTATGGGAAACTATCAAAAAATTAAAGGAGAGGGCCAGGTATTTAGCTCAGTGGTTTCACCGCCTGCTGCGCAAGCACAAGGACCCGAGTTCAATCCCCGGTACCAAAAAAAAATTAAAGGAGGTGGTTGTAATAGTCCGATAGGGCTGGCGATGAGACAAGGTCTTGCTATGTAGTCCAGGCTGGCCTCAAAATCACAGCAATAACTCAGCCTCAGTTTCCCCAGCGTGCACCACCAAACCCGGCTTTCTTTCTTTTCTTTTTTAAACAGGGCCTCACTATGTAGTTCAGGCTGACCTTGAACTCACTATGTAGCCCAGGCTGACCTCAAACTTGCGATCCTTTTGCCTCAGTCTCCCAATTGCTGGGATTCCAGGCATGCGCCACCGATTTGTATTTTAAATGTCATTCTGAAGGTTGCTCAGGAAACAAATAAAGGGGAGTTCTCCTAGATAGGAGATTGCACGGAAGGCAGAGGCCCTCTGGGCCAAGATCTCGTTCCCAGAATGGTGAACAGAAGGGGATAGAGCAGGCAGCAGACTAGAGCTTGGAAGCCTGGTCAGGGCCCTTAGAGGGGCGAAAGAGGCGAATCTAAAGGTGTGCATAGAAAGGTGGGCAGGGTCCCAACATTGGGTGACCTGGTCCGGCACTGAGCACCGCTGGAATCTGGAGCCGGCTGGAGCGGAGCGGGGACCGGGTGGCCGGGGAGCGCGCCTCCCACGGTAGAGCTGGTCCAGGAGGGGCGGGGCCGAGGTGGGAGGGGCGGGAGCGGCCACGCCGCCTGGCCGGGACATTCCTGGCTCTCCCGCCCGGAGCCGAGGAGCTCAGGGCCTGAGTCTCGGGACCCCGCTAGGCGGTGGGGCTGTGGCCGGCCGGAGCTGGGAGCGAGGCTGCGGAGGAGCCAGGTGAGCCCGGACCGTGTGCCGGGAGGGGCGCCGTGCAGGTTCTGGGCGAGCGGGACCAGCCGCCAGGGGGCGAGCGGCGGCCTGGCTACGAGGGCCAGCCCCCTCCCAGCACGGGGTACCTGGGCGTCTGCTCGGCAGGGTGGGAGGGTGGAGGGGGCGGTAAATCAGTAACCTGCAGTGCACACAGGGCCTTTTGTCCCGCTCCGTCCAAAGAGCACCCCGGCCGCGGAGTTGGTTACTTATTGCCCACCCGGGCGGGGGCGGGCCAGCTGTCTGCTGCTCGGCGTGGGGACCCGCTGCCTCGCACCTCCCCCGAGGGTGACCTGGTAGGGTGGAGGGAAGAGAGCGCTGGTCCCTGAGCCGCCGACTATGCGCGGGCTTAGAGATGAGAAAACCCACGCTCCTAGAGGTTCCGTCACTTGCGCAGGCTTCTCCAGCGCGTGAGCGTGGGAGGCTACGGACCCAGAACTGTCAGACGCCAGAGTCAGGCCTGGAACCGACTAAGGACTCCGAGGTTGTCAGGTCAGGACAGCCCGGCAGTGGGAATAAAATCGCGGGGGCCTTCGCCCTCCACTCCTAGCTGGAGCTGTGGACCTGAAAGCTACCCTCCCTGCTTAACAGAATGTGCTAGAGGCTTTTGCAGAGAAGGGACCAACAGAACCTGGGAACTGAGCTGGGCTCAGTCAGAGACGTGATATCAGAACCAGGTAGGTGGAGGAGAGAAATGAGCACAAAGAAATAGGCAAGAGAGTAGTTTTGAAAGCTTCTGTAAGAGCTGAAGAGGCAGTGTGACCATTGGGTGGGATGGTGAGGGAGGCCAAGATGCCCATAAACAGTGTGAACTGGATCCTGCTGGACACAGGTGGCCCTAAGGCCTTGTAAACTGGGGTGGAAGAGGTGACTTGGCAGATTCTTTTCTTTTTTTTTTTTTTAAGCCCTGCTTGAAGGAGGAAACTGAAGAGTCCAGGGAGATTTGAAAAGTCCCCAAACAAGAGATAACTGATCTGCCCTGGGGAGGGGGAGGGGAGGCAAGATAGACTAGAAAGGGACTGAGGGGGCAGAATGGACTGGAAGTGTGGTGGCAGTCGCTGAGAAGTGGGGTGTAATGGACTTCCTGGGCAGGGTTCCCAGTTTGGTAAAGTGTGGAACGCATCTTTTAAGAATCATGCATTGATTCAGAGACACTAGTGCCTCCTGGCTGTTGCATGGCCCTAGATAGCAGTCAGTAGAACCCGGGGCTGCATGGGTCACCTTATTCCCCTGCTTAAGCCGAGACTCAGTTCTGAGTATTCCATTTGGTACATAGACATTTGGTAGCATTTGGAAGAGTAACAAGATGGGGTGGATGTATATGTAACACCTGACAGGAGCAGTTCCAGACCAGTGATGACTGGCCAAGGGCAGACACAGGTTGACAGTCATGGGGAGAGTGGTGAGGAAAACATTTCACCCACATTCTATGCACCTAGATACTTTGATCTTTTTTGTGTGTGTGTACTGGGGATCAAACTCAGGACCTTGGCACTTTCAAGACAGACATGGCACCACTGAGCTGAATCCCCAGCCCGATGCTTTGTCTTTTTTATCCTCAGAGCAGTCCTTTAAGGATAAAAACCCAGAGCAGGACAGAGACAGGGACTTGGAAGTTGGCAAGAGTCAGGATTTGAACTTGGCAGTCTGACACTTAGCATCTACATTCTTTACAAAATAAGGCTGTAGTTGTAGTTCAATGATAGAGCACTTTCCTAGTATGCACAAGGCCCTGAGTTCCCTCTGCATCATGGCAGCAAAACAAAGATAACCTAGTAGCTGAGTGTGGTGGTGCACAACTATAATTCCACTATTCAGGAGGCTGAGCCAGGAGAATCACATGTTTGATGCTAGCCTGAGCAAATTAGAAAGACCCTGTTTCAAAATAAAATTTTCAAAGGGACTGGGATGTAGTTCAGTGGCAGAGCATTTGCCTAATATGTGCCAGGCCCAGGTTAAATCATCAGCACTGAAAAAAATAAAAGATGCCTTAGATGGCATTCAGACACAAAAAGCAGAAGTATTCTCAGGATGCATTTCTGGTTCAGAATGAGGGGGAATGTCCTTTTTGACCTGGAATGTGCTGCGGTGGTAGTTGTGAGCACCCAGCCACTGGAGGAATCCAAAGCTGAACATGGAAATGACAGCAATACTGTAAAGAGTAGGGGTCAGATCAGATAGCATCCAGATGCTGAAGTTTGGCTTGTATTACATTTCATTTTTCCCCCTTTGGTTCTTCAGCAATAAATTCATTTATTTAGCAAAAACTAAATGATGTGTGCTGAGAGAGAGAAGATATGTCGCCATCTCTGCTTTCCTGCAAGGAAAGAATCCCAAAACTGCTTTCTGTGAACTCAGGCCAGGGTCTCAGCAGGACCCGAGAGCAGGAAGCCCAACCTTGCCTCCCTGCAGAACCTCCTGTGGGGAGGCCTTGGGCTCTGGCAGCAGCAGAGATGAACCAGTCTCTGCTCTGCTGCAGCCTGGTTGGGGGCTTGGACAAGCCTGCTGACCATTTCCTGCCTCGGTTTTCTCATCTGCATAATCAGGGAAGAGTACCAGCAAAGACACAGGTGTACAATGAGCTCTTTTTCCTCCCTGTTTTAGGAAGACAGTCAGTGAGAAGTCCAGCCTGAGTCCCCATGAGCAGCAGGAAGGAGATGCGGCTGCTGTTGGCCCTGTTGGGGGTCCTGCTAGGGCCACCTGGGGCTCCGGCCTTGTCCCTTGAGGCCTCTGAGGAAATGGACCTGGGTACTGCCTCTAAAGTGGGAGAGGGTGGCAGGGTGGGATGTGTGGACACCAGGAAGGGGCTGCTAGCTAAGCAAAGCTGGACAGGATCCTGGTCCTGGCCCCTAGAAGGTGGCAGCAGGGCAGAGCTCAAGCAGAGATTCAGTGGCTGGCTCCCAGCCAACATCTACCTATCTCTGTGTCTACAAGAGAGGACTGGCCTTGCAGGGCTCCAAGCTGGGCTGCAGAGCCAGTGGTGAGCCTCTTGGCTGTGTATGTGTGTGTGTGTGTGTGTGTGTTTTGTTTTGTTTTTTTGTTGTTGTTGGTACTGGGGATTGAACTCAGGATCTTGTATTGCGAAGCAGGTGGCAGAACCATTGAGCTAAATCCCCAGCCCGTGTGTGTGTGTTTTCTGTGCACTGGGGGTGTGTGTGGAAGGCCCAGGCAGCATGTGCCGTATATGCACTATGAGTGATGTGCCCCAGAAGTGTGGCATGTGTCCTACACATAATACCTGTGGCATGTGCCATGTGTCTGTGTGTGTGTCTTGGGCAGTGGTATGTCTAGCATGTGTGCCAAGTATCGTGTGTGTGACCTGCCCCAGAAGTATGACGTTAGCCCTATACATAGCATCTGTAGCATGTAGTAATGTGTTGAGAGGAACAGCAGCTTGTTCAAGCATGTGTCAGAGTGCTTATGCAGCATGTTCTCTGTGTCAGAGGGCTGCCTCAGATGGGACTGAGGGGCTCACTAACCTGCTGTCTACCCTCAGAGCCCTGCCTGGCCCCCAGCCTAGAGCAGCAAGAGCAGGAGCTGACCATTGCCCTTGGGCAGCCTGTGAGGCTCTGCTGTGGGCTGGGTGAGCGCAGTGGCCACTGGTACAAGGAGGGCAACCGCCTGGCACCTGCTGGCCGGGTACGGAGCTGGAGGGGCCGCCTGGAGATTGCCAGTTTCCTACCAGGGGATGCTGGCCACTACCTCTGCCTGGCACGCGGCTCCATGACTGTCCTGCACAAACTCATCTTGGTTGCAGATGGTAAGAGGGGGTGGCAGAGGGTTAAGGGGTGCCTGGAAGAGAGACCACTCCGTCTTGGAACTCAGATACCTCCCTCTGTCCCTAATGTAGATTCCTTGACTTCAAGCAACGATGATGAAGACCCCAAGGCCAGCAGAGACTCCTCAAATGGGCATATTTACCTCCAGCAGGGTTGGTCTGAGTCCTCAGTGTCCCCAGTGCCCATCTGGCCACTGAGAAGAAGAGATTTGTGTGGGAGCTGGTAGTCATCTTTGGGGCACTAAATATGTCTTCCTCTTTCCCTCTAGCACCCTACTGGACACATCCCCAGCGTATGGAGAAAAAACTGCACGCAGTACCTGCCGGGAACACCGTTAAGTTCCGCTGTCCAGCTTCAGGCAACCCCATGCCCACCATCCACTGGCTCAAGGATGGACAGGCTTTCCGTGGGGAGAATCGCATTGGAGGCATTCGAGTGAGTCTTGCCTTCCAAGATTATTTGCCTGCCCATTTTCATTCTCCCATCAGTCCTTCATATGTGCGCATAAACCTCATGAGGAAGGCAGCTGTGGGACCCAGAGGGAGCCCTGGACCACAAATCTAGGCAGCTGTGGTTCAAGATCCCACTGTACACACCAGGCATGTTGGCACATGCCTGTAATCCCAGCACTAGGGAGGCTGAGCCAGGATGATAGTGATTTTGAGGCCATCCTGACAACATCCCACACTGTCACTCTCTGGCACATGATTTAACCTCTCAGCCTTGGCAATTTCATTCATAAAGTGGAAAAAATCATTGACAAGTAGGTATCAATAAGCTTCAGGATCTCATTCTCCAGATGAGACCCTACAGGGTCAATTCCATGCTATCGTGAGGAGGCTGAGATCCAGAGAAGGCAAATACTGGCACGAAATGGCACAAGTATGGAGAGGCAGAGCTAAAACTCAAATTTCAAACCCAGAGCTCAACGCATTTTTCTTGGCCTAAGGTCCTGGCCTTGGCTTGACCCCTACAGGGCCTAGGTAGCTTGAGAAGAGCCTTGTGGGGCAGATCTAGCTTCCTCATGGCCTAGCTTTCCTGGGTGGACATGGGTTGCTGGGCCCACATGGACATCTCCACCCTCAGCTTCGCCACCAGCACTGGAGCCTGGTGATGGAAAGTGTGGTGCCCTCGGACCGTGGCACATACACCTGCCTTGTGGAGAACTCTCTGGGCAGCATCCGTTACAGCTATTTGCTGGATGTGCTGGGTGAGCGGATGGGCAGGGGCAGTGGTGGGCATGGGAGACTGACTCATCTTGGGCTCACTTCTGCCTGGGGGAGGGAGGGTGCCCAAGTGGACTTGATCTTAGATCAAGCCCAGTACTTCAAAGTGACCAGGTGGATCAGAGGGAAGCACAGGGTATGTGGGCCTGGAGGACCCGGGGTTGCATAGAGGAAAGGTGAGAGAGGCATCTCGGCAGAGGGACAGACCAAGTTAAGGCCCTAAACATGAAGAATGTGTGCATTATGGGCCGGGGATTTAGCTCAGTGGTTCTGGTGCCTGCCTCACAGCGCAAGATCTTGAGTTCGATCCCTGGTACCAAAAAAAAAAAAAAAAGTATTCTTCCCAAGAATGCATGCATCTGTAAGGAGGTGTATTGCTGGGGTGCACCATTTATGTGGGGAGCCAGGAGGTGGAGGATTTTGAGTGTTAGGGTGAGAATCTGTCTTGGACCAAAAGCCAATGGGAGGTTAAGCAGGGTAAGCAAGAGAGGGATGTGCTCTGAGCTGCACGTCTAGAAGGTCCCTCCTTTGAACTGGAGGATAGCTGGAGGCAAGTAAACAGGATGCTTTTGTGGGTGCCACTGGTGAGGGTTGACGGCCTGGCCTGGCCCCCAGAGCGGTCCCCGCACCGGCCCATCCTGCAGGCGGGGCTCCCGGCCAACACCACAGCTGTGGCAGGCAGTGATGTAGAGCTGCTGTGCAAGGTGTACAGTGACGCCCAGCCCCACATCCAGTGGCTGAAGCACATCATCATCAATGGCAGCAGCTCTGGTGCCGACGGCTTCCCCTATGTGCAAGTCCTGAAGGTGCACTTCCCACTCGTGCCTTCTCCAAACTGGGTGGGTGGGAAGGGCCCTCTCAGCCACTCTGTGGCCCCAGGCCCTGATATGACCCACATGCCTGTCTCATCCCCAGACAGCAGATATCAATAGCTCAGAGGTGGAGGTCCTATACCTGCGAAACGTGTCAGCAGAGGATGCAGGCGAGTACACCTGCCTGGCTGGCAACTCCATTGGCCTATCCTACCAGTCAGCCTGGCTCACGGTGCTGCCAGGTGAGCACCTGAGGGGGTAAGAGAGGCTGCAGGATCTCAGTGTGGTTCACCAGTGGGCTGTGGCTGTCCTCCTTGGCCTATGGGGTCTGGATGCAGTGTGTAGATTTGTGATTTTGTTTGTTTGTGGTGCTGGGGATTAAACCTGGAGCCTCATACGTGCTAGACAAGTGCTATACCACTGAGCTACACCCCTAGCTGGGATTTATTTGTTTGATTCTGTATGTGACTGTGTTATGTGACCTTCTAGGGCAGTGATGGCAAAGCTTTTAGAGACAAGTGCCCAAACTGCAACCCAAAACCTACTTATTTATTGCAAAATGCCAGCACTACAATTAAACCTGAATACTGAGGATGTAATTTCGAAAACACAGCTCATACATTAACATCTTTTGTCTTAAAAGAAAAACAAATAACATGCATGCCATAGGTTCGCCACCACTGCTCTAGGGGATGGATGTGTGGGACCGGATATAACTGCAGCTTTCTTAGTGTGTGTCTGTGTGTGTGTTGGCAGCTGTGAGGACCTGAGCTGGGGGGAGGGCCTGGCCAGTCCGACCACTGACTGATCATTTTCTTTGATTGTGTGTGTCCATCTGCGAGGGCAGAGGAAGACCCCATGTGGACAGCGGCAGCCTCCGAGACCAGGTATACAGATATCATTCTGTATGCATCGGGCTCCCTGGCTTTGGCTGTGCTCCTGCTGCTGGCCGGGCTGTATCGTGGGCAGACGCTCCACAGCCGGCACCCCCGCCAGCCTGCCACTGTGCAAAAGCTGTCTCGCTTCCCTTTGGGGCGACAGGTACCATGCCCATCCCCCGTCCCATCCCCACAAGGCTCTCAGCCTGACCCCAGCAGATGGAGCCAAGTCTTCCACTTTGCAGTTCTCCCTGGAGTCCGGCTCCTCAGGCAAGTCAAGCTCATCCCTGGTGCGAGGCGTCCGGCTCTCCTCCAGCGGCCCTCCCCTGCTTGCTGGCCTCGTGAATCTAGACCTACCCCTGGACCCACTGTGGGAGTTCCCCCGGGACAGGTACACCGAGAGAGTGAGGACGGAGGTGCAGGCTGGGCAGTGACCCCCAGAGGTTTGAGGCATGGGCTTTCTTATCTCTAGGCTGGTTCTTGGGAAGCCCCTGGGCGAGGGCTGCTTTGGGCAGGTGGTGCGCGCAGAGGCCTTCGGCATGGATCCTACCCAACCTGACCAAACAAGCACCGTGGCTGTCAAGATGCTCAAAGGTGCGTGTGGTACCCGGGCGGGGGGGGGGGGCACTGTGGCACTGGGACTCATAGAAGGGGCTCACAGTCTGTGAGCGCTGGGGCCTGGAAGAGGCTGCAGGATTCCCCCTTTGGGCCTGTGACTGACTGCCACTGACCCTGGCGAGTCACTCCTGAGCCTGTTTTTCCTTATGTCACTTGGAGTAACTACTGGTCCCTACCTCTTACCCTGAGGTTCATGGAACGTGCCTGGCACTGAGTCAGGGCTCAGTAAATCTTAACCTTCAGAGTGATGATGACTGAGGATTTGAGGTGACTGGGGCTTTCTATTCCCCTTGGCTATGGCCTGTGTCAATCAGCCTTAGCCTCGTGTCTGCTTGTCAGCTTCACAGATCACCTACCCTGTGGTTTCCCTTAAATAGCCTCAGCTTTCTTGGGCCATTTCTAGGTCTGTCCTTCTGGGGATAGGAGAGGATCCTTCTGCTTACAAGTCTCAGAACCCAAGCAGCAGTCCTAATGTGTTCTGCAAGACACTTGGAGGCTGCCCAGTGGACCGTTTTGCTGTAGTCCCTGAGCCCCTTCTGCAAGAATGGCCCAAATCAGGCCAGGAATTTAGCTCAGTGGTTCCGCTGCCTGCCTCACAAGCACAAGGTCCCGAGTTTGATCCCTGGTACCAAAAAAAAAAACCAAAAAAAAACACATGCAAAAAGAATGGCCCAAACCACTGTTCTGCTCCATCTCTCCCTCCTCTCTGCACAGCTGGGGCCACCTGGCACTTTCTGGGAGGCAGGGATTGAGAAATATGCTTTATGATGTTGGTTTGTGGATGAGAGAAGTGTTATGTCACTGTCTAGGGCCACAGGTCAGCCCTGGGAGAGCAGCCTTCTTGCCATCTTCTTCCAGCTGGCCTTACCAGCAGCTCCCTGAATTTCCAGCCCAGGTGGACACCAGGTCCTCGTCTGAGACACACTTCAGGGTGCCAGCCTGCTTCCTGCCCCTGGGAGCTCACCCAGAACGGGGACTAGTGCCATCCCTCCAGACGAAGTTTCCTTCCTGTTCAGAGCACTTCCCTAGCTCTCATTTCCTAGACCTGCTCTCTAAAAGGAGAGCAATTTCCGGATCCTTGATGTTGTATTTTTGCAACTGCTGTAGGAGGTAGGGTATGATCTACTGTTCTGTTTTGTTCAAGACAATCCTGACGTTTAGAGAGGTTAGGAGACATTTTGAAGGCCACACAGCCTGCTCTGTGACCTGTACCCAATCCTGCAACCTTCCCTGCCCCAGCCAGCTTCCTCACCTCAGCTTTTACCCTTACAGACAACGCCTCTGACAAGGACTTAGCAGACCTGGTCTCTGAGATGGAAGTGATGAAGCTGATTGGCCAACATAAGAATATCATCAACCTGCTGGGTGTCTGCACCCAGGAAGGTGGGGCAGGGACCAGGCTGGCCATGGGGTAGTTGGGGTGCAGGCCGTAGCCTCAACAGCCTCCCTGTCCCCCACCCCGGCCTCCCTCTAGGGCCCCTGTATGTGATCGTGGAGTGTGCTGCCAAGGGCAACCTGCGGGAGTTCCTCCGGGCCAGGCGTCCTCCAGGCCCCGACCTTAGCCCCGAGGGGCCACGGAGCAGTGAGGGGCCCCTCTCTTTCCCTGCCCTGGTCTCCTGTGCCTACCAGGTGGCCCGAGGCATGCAGTATCTGGAGTCACGGAAGGTGCGGGAAACAGTGCTCTAACTCCTCCATCTCCACACGCTCACACTGGGAGCATGAAATCCCCAATTTCTGCTTTTCCCCTTTTTCATCACCCTGTCTGCAGGAACCCAAATCCTTGATGTTAGATGGAGTAGGTTTTCCTTTCTCAATCTTGACTTTCCTTGGATCTGTAAGGTGGTGGATGAGTCCAACTCCCCAGGCTGACTGTGAGATGCTGTGTCATGGCTCCCAGCCATGGGAGCTCATAAACCCTTCTGTCCGTTTCTGTCTCCTGCTCTGCCCCAGTGCATCCACCGGGACCTGGCTGCCCGAAATGTGCTGGTGACTGAGGATAATGTCATGAAGATTGCTGACTTTGGGCTGGCCCGTGGCATCCACCACATAGATTACTACAAGAAAACCAGCAATGTGAGGGAGGCTGAGCCGGGGCGGGGCGGGGGGGAGGAACGGGGGGGGGGGACGCACAGGAGACAGGAACCTGAGCAACTCAACACAATGCCCTCACCTCTCCCCTCCAGGGCCGCCTGCCCGTCAAGTGGATGGCACCAGAGGCCTTGTTCGACCGAGTATACACACACCAGAGTGATGTGTGAGTCCTGCAAGCAGGAGTCCAGGACATCTGCCAGCAGGCATTGTCCTGCGCCACAGAAAGAACAAGGCAGTGTCACTGGTCCCTAGGAGTTGTGCACTCATGGCTCCTGAGAACACAGTGATTCAGCAAAGTAGCACAAATGAGCTTGTAGAAACACTGCCCGTAGGTCAGGTCCCATAGAGGAGTTGAGGCTATCAGAATAAGAATCTTTTCTTGCTGGGTGTGGTGGTGCACATCTGTAATCCCAGCACCCAGGAGGCTGAGGCAGGAGGATCGCCACAAGTTTGAGGCCAGCCTGGGCTACATAGCAAGACCCAGTCTTAAAAAACGAGGAAAAAAGTCCATTATTCATCAAACCAGAGTAAGTTATGAGGCACTTCTGGGAAAAGGGCTCCTTCAGATCAGGCCTGAGCAGATCAGACTCCAAAAGAAGTCCAGTCCCAGCCCCAGTAGTAAGTAGATCATGCCAGCGGTATCCCCATCCCAGCATCAGGAGCAAGAAGACAGCTGTGCCCTGCTGAGCACCCGTCCTGCCTCCAGGTGGTCATTCGGGATCCTGCTGTGGGAGATCTTCACCCTCGGGGGCTCCCCGTATCCTGGCATCCCCGTGGAAGAGCTGTTTGCACTGCTGCGGGAGGGGCATCGGATGGACCGGCCCCCAAACTGCCCCCCAGAACTGTGAGGCCATGTCCCACCCTCCCCCGCTGTGCAATCCTCTGCCTGCCCTGACCCTGGCCATGTGGCAGCACTGTCGCCACTGCTGCCTTTCCCTCCTTTGGGCCTAGTGAGGAGTCCTAGCCTGGCTCTTGTGCCCTTTTGCCCATTGGACTTGCCCAGCCCTCATCAGCCACAAGGACCTGATAATACCCTTCCCGAGGCCTGGGCTCCTCTAAGCACCCTCCCACCTCTCCCAGGTATGGGCTGATGCGCGAGTGCTGGCATGCAGCACCCTCCCAGAGGCCCACCTTCAAGCAGCTGGTGGAGGCACTGGACAAAGTCCTGCTGGCTGTCTCTGAGGAGGTACTGCTTCCACCTTGTGTCATGACTTCCCTCTGCCTGCTCCCCTGGGGCCTCCTAGCACCTGACTATATGGGATAAATAACAGCATCTCCTCAGGTTGGCTGCAGGGCTGATCAACTCTTTTCTCTGCAGTACCTTGACCTCCGTCTGACCTTTGGACCCTACTCCCCCTGTGGTGGGGATGCCAGCAGTACCTGCTCCTCCAGTGACTCTGTCTTCAGCCACGACCCTCTATCCCCAGGGCCAAACCCCTTCCCCTTCCTGGGAGTACAGGCATGAGCAGGGCCAGAAGATTGTGCAGGCAGGTAGGCCAGTGGCCTTGGGCCTCCTGGCTCAGCCAAAGCCTGGCACAGCATTTGAGTTTGGCAGCCCCAGGTACCTGTCCTCAGAGTGCTGTCCCATTTCTCTGTCTCCTTGGTTTGGTTTGGTTTGGTTTGGTTTGATGTGTTTTGTTTTGAGACAAGGTCTCACTATGTAGTCTGGGCTGGCCTTGAACTCCCAGCAATCCTCTTGCCTCAGCTTCCTGAGTGCTGGAATTACAGGTGTGCACCACGACACCTGGCTGGTTCCTCTTTGAGAAGGTTCATCTGGTACATCCTCGGGTTCCTAGGTAAGGCTCTGTGCCCTATCTTTGGTTCCCAGTGCAGAGTTCAACCATAGTCTCAAGGTCCTGCCTTTGCCTTGGAGTTATGGTGCCAGTATCCTAATTGCCTGAGAGTCAGGAAGGTTGTGCTCTACCTCCTGACCTTGGCACTCAGTTCCTGTCCCAGGGGGTTGGCTGACCTAGCCACAGAAATGCTGTCCTAAAGTCAGGTATGGTGGTGCATGCTTGTAATCCTAACACTTGGGAGGCTGAGGCAGGAGGATTGCTCTGTCTCAAAAAAGAAAAAGAAATGCCATCCTTAACCTTCCTGCTTCACATCAGAAGTCACAGGCCTCTGAACTCCATTTCCCTAAGTCTCCTTCACCTCCCCCTACTACTTGTCCAGTATCTTGGTGGAAAGAGCATTGGTTCTCGTGCCCTTGAGAGACTGGAAGCCTTCCCGAAACACAGGAGCAGATGATCTTTTATAAATTATTTTTTGGAAATAAACCTTTGTGTGCCTGGTATCTCCCTGAGTGGCATGGACAGGAGTCCCCAAGCTGGGAATGATGCCTGGGTCACAGACTGAGGGCTGCGTGCCAGGCTAGGGATGCATCCACCTCCTGCTGTCCCAGGACAGACCCACATATACTGCCTGTTCTCTGGGAGAGAGAACCACCTTGTACCAGTACCACCTTGTGTAGGCAGTGGTGTGAGTACGTACCATCCATAGGTCGGGACCCCTGTACCTTCACACACAACTGTTCTGTCTCCCAGGGAGCTGGCAGCCCCTTCCCCCATCCTCTCAGCATTAACCAAACTTTTAACACAGCATGAAAACCTGAAACCAAGCCTCCAGCTGCTGCTTGCTCCCACGCTCTGCAGACTTATGCTTGGGGTTTGTGGGGGCTGTGCCCACCCTGCCCTGGCCAGTCTCCCAGGCAGCAGCTGGTTGCCGCCTGGCTGGGCTGCAGCTGTCCCTGCTTGCACAGTCCTCTCCCAGGGAGGCTGTCACGGCCGTATTCTCAGACCCGTCTCAGAGGGATCAGCTTCCCAGACCTCAGCCGGGAACCTTCCTTAGCTGTATCTTGGCAGTTACTGCTGTGCCCCAGCCCCCGAATCTCAAGGTCAGCTGTGGGGAGGCCTGAGGTGGTGCCTGATCCAGTGCTTGGTGCTCTGCCCTTTTCCTGCAGGCCCAAAGCCTGGAAAAGGCCTGCTTTATGGAGTCTGCCTGCATTGTTTGTGTGGGCTCCTAGGAAGTGGTGGCTGAAAGTGCATTTAGGGCCTTAAGAGATTGGACCAGAATGTGAGGCTGGATCATCAGCTGGGGCCTGACCTGGAAAACTGATCAGTAGCTCATGAAGGGAGTAACGTCCCTTGAAGGGCTAGTCTCCTGCACTCTCTGGCTCACTATGTCCCAATCTGCACTACCTGTTCCCCCTCCCCGATCATCCTCCAGGGGTCTGCATCTGACATGGCCATGGTCCAGAGACCAGGAAAACGCCCTGACCACCTCCTTTCCCTCAGGAACTGTCTTCCCTAATGGGCTGCAAACGGTACTGGATTTGGAGCTAGGAGGATGAAATCCTGCCACTCTTCAGTGTCTGGCTGTGGTACCTGAGTCCAGCACTGACGCTTCTCTGATGGTCACATTCTTCGCCCAGATGAATGAAGTGCTCCTGCTCTGCCTACCTCCCAGGGCTTGGAGTACTTGTGATGGGGAAGGGTGTGGTGCACAGTCCATGTGGTTTATGCTGCAGTAACTCACTTAGGCTGAGGCTTTTGTGACCCTGCATGCACCCCTGCCCAGCCCAAGGTCTCCAGTGTCCCTTTTATTCCCCATTCTCCTGCAGGTAGTTCCAGAGCAGGATCCCAAAGAAGCTCTTGGCTTATGCTTCTTTCTGCACTGGCTCCCTAGTATGCCCAAACTTTCTGACTAAGCTCCACTCCCAAACTTAAAGTCTTCCATTCGAGGCTACTGACCAGTAACCTGTCCTCCACCAGCACAGCTATCAGGACAGGTTGGACCCCTCAGACATGCCTGGGGAGGGAGAGTGTTTTGGGATTAGAATAAAACAGTTCAGATACCATGAGCCCCCCAGTGCCAGGGTCAGCCAACCTAGTGGTCTCCCTCACCACCATTTAATGGTGGCGAAATGGAGAAATGTGCCAGGTGTGGTGTTATACACCTGCAGTCCCAGCTACACGAAAGGCTGAGGCAGGAGGATTGCAAGTTTGAGACCAGCCTGGGCAATTTAGGGGGGACTATGTCTCAGATTTAAAAATAAAGGCTAAAGACATAGTTCAGTGGTCCCTGGGTTCAATCCCCAGTACCAAAAACAAACAAAAACCACCTTTATAGTTGAGGGTGTAGCTCAGTGGTAGAGCACTTACCTAGCATGTTCAAGGCCCTGGGTTTGAAACCCAACCCTGAAAATAAAAAAGAACGGGGTTCTATAAAGGAGCTAGGTGACATCCCCAGTTCCCAACAAATCCTCTGCACATTGAAAACCACAATCAGGTCACTCAGAGTGACAGGGCCAGCTGCTGCCTGGTACAATAGTTCCTGAGGGCCAAGAGGAACCCAGCTGCCCAGCCTGTGTCCCCTCCCTGGCAGCATCACTGGCAGGCACATCCTTGCTGAGGCTGTTCCACATTCCTGATGTCCCTTGTCAGAAGGAGACAGATGCTGCTAATTCCCCCGTGTAGGCTTGGCTGCTCCATCTCGCCAGCCTTTTCCAGCCTGCCCTGGGCGCCGTGCAGCAGCTGGGGCATGGTACCCTTGATCTGCCCAAGTTCTGAGCGGCTTCTAAGCCAGTGAAAAGCACTGGGCCTTTCTCCAAACTCCACCACTCGCTGGCTACTTGTTTCAATCAGGGCTCTAGTGAGAGCAACAGACACCCCCTCTGATCTGGGAGGTCCTGGCCAACGGACGCGAAGCTGCTGGCTGGGGAATGGGCACCTGGGAGAGAGGATCAGGTTGTGTGCATTGAGGGATGGAGGATGTACTATGACTGAAGTTACCCTCTCAGCCTCCATTTCCCTACAGTAACAGAGGAATGAATGATAATACCTGCCTCAGAGTCCTTCAAGTGCTTAGTAAACAACAGCTGTTGCTGCATGGAGATTAGGAGGGAATGGACTCCAGGGCTGGGTTGCTATTCGGAGCTGGTGATCTCATTCCCTTCTCATGGCAGCCCTGCCAGGAAGGTCTTCTTGTCCCCATTTCCCAGATGAGGACAATGAGGCCCAGAAGGAGTAAGTGACTGGCCCAAGGGCAGAGATGAGAAAGTAGAAGAGCTGATGCTCAGGGCCAGGTGCTCTGTCCACCCCAAAGTCCACCCTCACCCCAGAGGTTCTGGGTAAGGCCCAAAGCAGGGGCAGTCTGTTAGCGGGATGTCCGTACAGATGGGGTGATGGACAGTCACACCACTCAAGCACTATACACCCAGGCCTAGAGCTTCGGGCTCCAGCCCTGTGACTTTGCATCCCTCCATCTCAAGGGTCTCACACAGGCTTTTCCTTCCTGGGACACTGTTCCTCTCAGCTCACACCTGCCCACGCCCTATTTGTCCTTCAGAGATTGCACAAATGTCCCTTCTCAGGGCAGCATCCATGGGCCATTCCAGGCCAGCTTCCAGGCCAAGTCCCCCTGTTTGGGGGCTTCCTCACTGTAATGAAGGACTCCCCTAAACTGTGCCCACCAATAAGCAAGCACTGCTTAGATGGCGCTCTTTTCGGTGGTTGTCTTTCTGGTGGGAATCAAAGTCTTGGCCTCACAGATGCTAGGCAACTGCTCTACCACTGAGCTACACCCTTGGCCCCTAGATATTTTTGGTTTTTGTTTTGTAATTTTGGGAGACAGAGTCTCGCTATGTAGTTCAGCATGGCCTGGAACTCACTATGCAGCCCAGGCTGGTCTCAAACTCATAGCGGTCCTCCTACCCCAGCCTCCCAAGTGCTGGGATTACAGGTGTGTGCCACCACACCTGGCTCCCTAGATAGTGGTTTGGGGGTTTTTTTGTACCAGGAATTAAACCCAGGGCTTTGAGTTTGCCAGGCAGGTGCTGTGCTGCTGAGCAACATCCCCAGCCCTAGATAGTGTTTTTGTAAGCAGACATTCTCAAACTTTAACATATATCACAGTTACCTGGAGGGTCCCACCCTATAAATTTATATTTAGTAGGTCGGTTGCACAGCCTGGGAATTTGAATTTCTAGTCAATTCACAGGTGGTACAGATGCTACTGGAGAAGTGGGGGCTTCACACCTGCAAACCACAGTTTAAAGACTCACTACATAAAATCAGGGTGGTAGTGCATGCCTGTAATTCCTGCATTCTGGGAGACTGAGGTACAAGGATCCCAAGTTTAAGCATAGTCTGGGCAACTTAGCCTTAGCGAGACCCCATCTCAAAAAAGAAGCCAAGCATGGTGGTGCACGTCTGTGACCCCAGCACTCAGGAGGCTGAGGCAGAAGGATCACTGCAGTTCAAGGCCAACTTGGACTACATAGTTCAAGACCAGCCTGAACTACATAGTGAGACCCTGTCTCAAAAAAACAAAACCAGGGATTTAGCTCAGCGGTTCCAGTGCCTGCCTTGCAAGTGCAAGGTCCCAAGTTCGATCCCCGGTACCAAACAAAACAAATCAAGCAAGACCCTGTCTCAAAAAAAAAAAAAAATCAAAAACAAACAAAAAACCAAAACCAGCTGGGCGTGGTGGTGCACACCTGAAATCCCAGCACTTGGGAGACTGAGGCAGGAGGATCACTGCAAGTTCCAAGCCTACCTGGGCTACATAGTGAGTTCAGCACAAGCCTGAACTACAAAGAGAGACCCTGCCTCAAAAAATCAAAAACCAAAACCAAAACCAAAAACCAAAACAAGCCAGGGATTTAGCTCAGTGGCACCATGCCTGCCTCACAAGCACAAGGTCCTGAGTTCCATCCTTGGTACCAAAAAACAAAAACAAAACAAAAAATATATATAAATAAACATATAAAGAGCTGGGAATCAAAGAATTAAAAGAATCATACCACAGCGATATATGTGCACCTATGTTTACAGCGGCACAGTTTGTAATAGTTAAGGCTTGGAAACACCCCAAGTGCCCATCAACTGGAAACTGCATAAAGAAGATGTGGTTTTTTTATAAAATGGAGTACTACTCAGCCATAAAGAACAAGAAACTAGAGTCATTTATAGCTAAATGGATGCATATTGTGAGGGCATACTCTTAAGTGAAATAAATAGGACACATGTGTAAATACCGAATAGTTTCTCTAGTGTGAGAAACTGAAAGTGTAAATAAGGATGAAAATGATTAAAATGAATAACTGATAATTTGAAATAGGAAAAGGTCCAAAGGTGTAGGGGTGGTGGGAGGGGAAGGGGAAAAGGAAGAAGGGAAAGGAAAAATTATGAGAAAGAAAAAAAAATGGAAACAAAATCTATGTAAATAGGGAAGAGTGGAGGGGATGAAGGATGCATAGGTAATGGGGGGAAAAATA